TTCGATTTCCGGAGCTCCTCAGCCAGACTGAGGGTATTGAGGAAGGTAATCCCTTCTTGGTTGGAGTTATTCGAGATCCTGAGGATGGTATTGGCGACGGTCGCAAACTTCGCAAGGCGGGGCCCGAAGGAAGCGAAGTCCTTGCACGTACAGAATCTTAGGGGACCATTGTCCTAAATTGAGCACCCATTCTTAAACTTATGAGACATTACCAGGGATGCTTCGTTAATAACCAACAGCCGGGTCTCAAGGAAATCAAGTACCCCAGCCCCCGTATCGGTTCGTTCAAGCTAAAGACCCTCGAGGTAACAGCGGGTGACGAAATTCAGTCGTCATGGCTAGTTCACGGCTCACTTGGTCCCCTTTCTTGAAAAAGCCAATAACCAAAAGATCGTCGATGTATCTTTTACCTGTAATTAAGTGAGCGTCACTACTGAGAGAGGACAAAAAAACATACACGGCGCACATACACATCACACAGGCGAGGGGAGGGCTTGCCCTTCCTCCCATGGGAATTCCTCGCGTCTGTCGGAGAATAAAACTCGACACCATAAAAAGCGTATTTTCCAGCTGGAAGTTGGTTAGTCTCTCCAGCTGGCGCAGTCGGACTGAATTCCACCGCGCTTCCCTGTGCGACTTACTGAAGCTGGCAAGTTTCTTACAGGGGTTAATCCGAATCCATTTGATCCCAGCTTGTTGAAACAATTCCTCAATCCATCTTACTGCAAGAACTATTTCAATGTGTGGTAGCTGAGTAAACATTTCCTTGATGTCATACATGCGTGCTTCAAGTCCATACCCTTCTACTACCGAACGGTTAATCCTAGAAACTTCGGTTTTCAGGTCACTGATTGCCCGAAGGTTAAAATGCGGTGCCTTAATCCGTTTGATTAGCGTATTCAAGGCAGTGGAGAGTAAACCAGAAGCAGCACGGTAAGGGCTCAAGAAACACGACACAATAGGTCTCTTCTTTTCCTTGTCTTTTTCCTTTGATAGGACATACGCATGCTGCAAATCACCCTGTCGATCCCATTTACTGTTTTTGTACAGATGGTTCTCATCATATCTCTTCCTCATCTCTGTGAGGACCACTTCTTTAGAAGACTGAATGATCCCATAATTCTCGTTCTCGATATACATCTTTCGAAGCCCCCCTTCATACAACTTGGGGCATTCGATCCACATCTCCGTGGTATTACGGTCAAGGGGGGATAGGACTAGCGCTGTCAGGTCACATGCAACCCCTTTAACGTACTCACTCATGGCGCAACCATGAGGCTTAGGTACACCGACCTTGCAGACAGATAGCCAGTTCACCTGAATCTCCCCTTGTACTACGCCGGTCCTTCGGAGCTCTGAGATGACGGTGTTACATGTCATATTCAGAGAGTCCTTGCTTGTGAATGTTCCAGGAAAGGGAACATTTTTTGAGTTAAACAGGAAAGGGTCTATGCCATCCAATTCTCTAAGTTTGACTGCAACATGCCCGTTTAACTTAGGCAGTTCAAAGCCAGCACATACACAATCAAAAACATGTGCATGTGCAAATGGCTTCTGATTATGCAACAGGTCTCCAACGGTATGGGCTTTCAACCATACTGCTTTAGTCCTTCTAGCATACAAGTCAGCCAGCGAAACTGGAACAATATGCGACTTAATCCAGTCTCTCACAACCGCAACAACCCGATTTTTGTCAACTGTAGTACAAAAGGGAATTTTCACCGTGATATCCAGTCTTGGGTTAATGCCAAACTTTCGTTTGAAGACATTTGTAAGGATGCCGCGGACAATCTGTCGGCCTCGCTGCTGGTTAATGGTCTTAACACCATTATTAAAGTCAATTAGTTCCTCCAGCGAGCAAGCATACAAATCCCTCCTCTTCCAGGGGGCACGTAACAGGGCAATGAGGTGCGCTTTCATTAGATCAGATTTGGTCTGAGTCCTACACAATTGGGTAATGGACCATCGACCCCCCGCTTCAATAGAGGTCTTAGCGTCTCGCAACAGCATCTTAACACCATTACACTCAATCTTAGTAAAGCCAAACAACAGGGCCACCAAACGCCAAGCTTTCAACCAACGACCTCCTGGATAATTACTAATGCTCACCGGATCCCGGCTTTTCTACTTTCTCATCATTTTTAGGTTCCGCATTAGGTCTGATTCCTGGAAGATCTGAACATCCGGACAGTCGAAGAACAAAGGCTCGATCACAGCAACCGGGGATGGTCTACGCACAGAGCGTTTCTTCCCTCGACCTTTCCGAGGGGACTTAGCATTCCTACGACCAATTAAGTTTAAGCCGGGGTTATTACTCTGAATGATCTTTGGTTCGATGCCCTCAATAGCAAGAGCAGCTCCAGACCAGATGGGAATTGGAACATAGTACTCCGTGCCCACCTTCCGCAACCAGGAATGCACCAACTGTTTACTACCAACTTTTACAGCCCTGCAATGCTCAGACCATCTTTCCCTTAATGGGCGAATGGTCTTCTCGACATACACCAACTTAAACTCAATTGACATAAGAACATACACGCAGCACTGGCCATCAAGCAAGCCGCCCCATTCTTCGTTAGTCATGCGTAGCCAAAATAGTAAGTATGCCCGTCCCCACGCAATGTCCCCCCTTAGGCAAGCCAACAGTACAATCAAGACCTGGATCTTATCCAACATCATCTGCAAACAGCTATTAGCAGAGCATCGCCAGGCACGGATGCGCTTCGATGCTCTCCTTAAGGAGCGGAGACTCCCTAATCAGTTCCCTGAATAGAGTCACCGCCCTTCTCGTTTCCAATTTCTGAGTTGTCCATAGTCCGCCCAGTCGTCTTGCGAGAAGGCTCAGCGCCTTTATTCACACCGCTGGCCCCGTTCGGAACGTTGCCATTCAGCTGGTCCGCATACTCTTGCAGATCCAATCTCGCCAACTCCCATGCAGCAGGTTCCTTCCGGAAGTATGAGATTTCCCTTTGCTTGCAAATCTCCTGCACCCTGGTGTAATGCAGCGACATGTAAAAGTCCTGCCGCATCTTCATATATGCGGCCAAACCACCCTCGCCAACCTCTTCCTCCTCGTGAAATGGGGAATTAGCAGCAACGTCCACATCTTCGGTGTCCTCCTCCGATCCGTGCATCGCGACAGGAGGTTTTTCAGGATCCACCACCGGCTGCTTGCCTTTAACGTCGGCAAGGCTTTGTGCGATTGAAGCCAACATCTTCTTCACCTCCGATAAGTCATTGCCCTCTCAAGTTTTTCGCTCAAATTCTGCCGCACTTGGCCAACATCAGCATCTTCCTCGTCCGAGGAGATTTCCACTCTGCGAGATCGTCCTCTCGAGCTTCCTCTCGATCGGGACTTTGCAGTGTTGGCAGGCGTGACAACAACAGGCGCCACAACAGCCTCCCGTTTCCGCTTTTCGCTGCTCGCTTCCTTCTTCACCTTTTCGAGGGCTGCCTTCTCAGCCCTAAGCCGCATTAGCTCCTCCTTCTCAGTCGCCGCCAGCTTGGATTTGGAATCCACTTCCTCAAGCTTCTGGGTGATTAGTTTCAAAGAATCACCGAGGGTCGAAGTGACCCATGCCTTCATCTCGTCTAACTTGCTGCTCAAACGGACTTCTGATTTGCAGCTCTCATTAGTGGTGTCCGATATCTGCACACCACCGAGCCTACTACCAGCAACCTTTTTCTTCGCAGCATCAAGAGCTTTCTCAGATTTAATGTCTTCTAAAATGTCCATGTATTCTTTCGTAAAATACACTCGGTTGCCTGACCCTGGAAAAGCGTTTGCAGCAGGACCCTTCCCTTGGTTAAGATTAGACGAACGGTTCTCACCAGTGGTCGGAATTCTGGAACCGGGAAAATCACCACCTTGCGCGCTCTGTACCTGGACGCTCGGTGCCTGCACACTTGGCACCTGCGCACCTGGCAATGGAGGAGGCGGGGGAAGAGGATTCCCCGCGGGGGTCACCGGCCATGGAATTGCGGCAGGCCACTGCGTCGTGGCAGCCCACGGCTGCATAGCCCAAGGGGCTGCAATCGGTGGGATAGCATACTGAGCCCCGCTATTCACCGGGACGGACGGTGCAGCATTCGCCGAAGGTAGCTGCTGCTGAACTTGCGGTAACTGCTGCTGCGCTTGCACAGTGGGAACAACGAACATAGGAACAATGCCCGGAGGCGCCTGCTTGCTGTCCGTTGTTCATGTTCGTCCAATACCGTCCGCAGTTGGACCAATGGCCGCCTGGATCCTCGACTCCCGTTACGGCTTCTCCCGTACATGCGACTTAGCACGGAGAAAGCAAATAGAATCCACCCAAGGCCCAAGCCGATCTTGTGTCTTACTTCGTTGAGCTTGGTATCGGTGCGTAGTTCGGACGTCCAGAGACGCCAAAACATGAGAGTAGACGCCCTCCTTCTTACGCACAGCGCGTCACTACGCCACCCTGGAGCGAGGAGTGTGTTCCAACTTCAGCATCCGCCACCGCAAAAACCGATCCGCCTACCTCACGCGGATTCGGACAATACGCCCGAGCAACCGGAAGATGTACGCAGCTACACGACAGTCGAAACAGTTTGCTACCCACCTTCCTGGCCGCTCCTACACGGCTCATGGAGCGGGCGGACAGGCGATTGCACACTCTCGCCAAGCGCACAGGGTCACCCGTATACGTCACCCATTCGTATCATACACGTGATTAGATGATAAGATAACTTGCAAACCGTATCCGGCGGGATAGCGCGCATAGCAGGGATAGCAAAATAATAAAAGGAGGGGGCGCCCGCATCAATTGATTACCCAACGAAAGTACGATTGCGCAAGAATGAGCAGAATTACGAAAGATGTAAATCCATAATAATAATAATAGCAAAGATAATGATAATGATAACAACAATGACAATAAAGTGACGAAAACAATGTCAAGATAAAAGAAAAGTGAAGCACGAACTCACGAGGGAGATTCGACGCCTCAGATTCATGCCCAAGCCACGACAAGGTCGAATCTGAGGCTGCATACCATAGCAAAATCACACAAGAATGGATAAACTTAGGAAGAAGAAGACGTGAGTTTTACTATCATGGCGACATAAACTCCTCCCCTTCAGACCCCAACACTCACACCGCCGAGGCATCTCAACCCTTCCACTCATTCGCCACTCAGGCTGAGGAATGCAACTATTTACCAGCTATATATATATATTCTCCTTATTTCTTGTGCGCGGTCGTTCCAGCTGACCGGTTAGTTAAACAACCCGGGATTCTAGAACAACCCGGGATTCTAGTCCATATGCGTATGCGCATCAGAGGCTTAGTACACGCAGTCCTGACCTCCGTCGGCCTTCCTGAAAAGCAGGATCTCCAGATTGGTACAGGGCTAGCCTTAAAGCAACGTGTTACCCCTCGCAAGAAACTGCT